GTCAGAAGCCAGCCGATTCGTTTTGTCTTGCTGCTCTGCCCTTGTTTCTTCCAACTGCTGCGCGCTCGGCGGTCGACCGTGCGAGTCGCCTGGCCGCGACGACCGGAAAGCGTGTGTGTGTGTGTGTGTGTGTGTGTGTGTGTGTGTGTGTGTGTGTGTGTGTGTGTGTGTGTGTGTGTGTGTGTGTGTGTGTGTGTGTGTGTGTGTGTGTGTGCGTGCGTGCGTGCGTGCGTGTGCGTGCGTGCTTGTGCTGCCCCCCATCTGGTTGCCTGGTCTGCCAGGCCGCCCCCCCCCCCCCCAGCTGCTGCTCAGCGATGCCGCTGGTTCCCCCCCACGGCGCTCCCCCCCGCCGCAGTCGGTGACTTGCCTGAGCGGGCCCGGCTTCCTCTCCCCCCGTCGCGCCGGGGCCTCCTCCTCGTCCTCTTCCTCCTTCTGTGTGCCAATCCGCCGGAGCAGTCGCCCTCTGCCCAGCCGCCGACGCAAAGTGTGTGTGTGTGTGTGTGTGTGTGTGTGTGTGTGTGTGTGTGTGTGTGTGTGTGTGTGTATGTGTGTGTGTTCGTCGCCCCCCCAAGGGCTACGTGCTCTCAGAAATCTTGCAGGTGCGGGCCTTCCCCCGGGGCTCGGCTGCGGGGCCGACGGGCCTCCGACCCCAACACCTCGCAGACGCGATACTCACCGCGGCCCACAGGGACGAGGTCGCCGACCAGCTTCGGAACCTTGTTAGCCTCTGCGCCAGGGGGCAGGCTCCGCCGGGCGTCTCCAAGTACTTCGCAGGAGCCTCTCTGGTGGCCCTGCCCAAGAAAGACGGAGGCCTACGCCCAGTGGCCGTCGGGGAGGTGCTCCAGCGCCTCGTCGGCAAGTGCCTCTGCCACGAGGTGGCCGACGCCGCGCGCGACCGACTGGCGCCCCTCCAGATCGGCGTTGCGGCCCCGGGCGGCACCGAAGCGGCCGCGCACGTGGCGCGCCAGTGGTGGACCCGCCACCTCGGTGACCGGAGGAAGGTATTCGTGAAGCTGGATTTGTCCAGCGCCTTCAACGCCCTGGACCGGCAGGCCCTGCTCCGCGCTGTCCACGAAGAGTTCCCCGCGCTGGCGCCCTGGGCCGACTGGTGCCACTCCCGCCCGTCGACTCTTTTCCTGGGCAAGAAGACCGTCGACTCCGAGAGCGGGGTGCAGCAGGGGGGCCCCTAGGGCCTTTGCTGTTTTCTCTTCCCCTCCAGCGCGCCGCCGAGGCCGCCCTGCGCGCGCCGCGCGACAGCGCCGACGGCGTCGTCGACCTGAGCTACTTGGACGATGGCTGCCTCGCGGGCGACGCGCCGGCCGTCGCTCGCCTCCTCCGCTTGCTCGTGGCCGAGCTCGCCGCGGTGGGCCTCCAGCTGAGCACCGGCCCGGGGAAGTACGAGGTTGTCCCTACTGGCGGAGGCGCCTCCGACGTGTCTCTGGACGGCTTCCCAGGGGGTTCTGTCTCCGCACCGATCGCAGCTTTGAGCTGCTCGGCGCGCCAATGGGGGGCGCTGATTTTTGCTCGGGGCACGCGAGGCAGCGGATTGCTGACGCCGCCGTTCTGCTTGAGGCTCTGGGGGCGCTCGAAAACGCGCAGGTCGCGCTGCGCCTCCTGCGGCAGTGCGCTTCTTTTTGCAAGCTGGGCTACTCCGCGCGCGTGGTGCCGCCCACCGCGCGCACCGCCTCCTTGGTGGCTATGGGCGACGCTGTCCAGGCTTGCCCGGAGCAACTAAGCGGCTGCTCTCCCTCCGACGCCTCCTGGCAGCAGGCTCAGCTCAAGCTCGACGAGGGAGGGCTCGGCCTGCGCTCCGCCGCAGCGCGCCGCCGCCGCCTAAGTTGCTTCCCGAGCGAAAAGCACAGACCTCTGCAAGCGGCTCTACCCCAGCTACTCCAACGGCGCTGACCACGACGGAGGTAGCTTGGCGGTGGCCGTGCAGGCCCACAACGCAGTCGCGCGGGACGCCGACAAGGTGGTTCGACCACGCCCAGCACAGCAACCAGAAAAGCCCTCTCCGACGCGGTGGACAGCGCCACGCTCGCAGGGCTCCTGGCGGGCGCCGCCCTGGCTGGCAAGGCGCACCTCTCCCTGGTGCAGGCCCCGAGCGCCGCCGCGTGGCTCCAGGCGCCGCCCTGCGAGGCCACCGGCACCGCCTTCCCGCGCGGTCTCATGCAGGTCGGCCTGCAGAGGCGGCTGCGAGTCCAGCTCTTGGAGGAGGAATGCTTTTGCCCAGCCTGTGGCGAGGTGATGGATGTCTGCTGCGACCACGCCTTGGTCTGCGCCTGCCGCGGCGACAGGACCGAACGCCACGGCGCCCTGCGCAGCCGGGCCTGCTTCGACGCCCTGGCCGCTGGTCACGCCAGGGCTGAGTTGGAGCGCCCGGGGCTGCTACCCGCGCGCCCCGCCGGGGAGGCCACCCCCGGGGGCGAGCAGGGCGGATCCCAGGTGGGCGACAACGGCCGCCGCCCCGCCGACGCCCACCTACCGAGGTGGCGCAACGGCGCGGCGGCCGCCTGGGACTTTGCCGACACGTCCGGGTTGCGCGCCGATCTCTTCGCCGCGTCGGCCGCGTCGCCCAGCGCGCCGACGGAACGATGCGAGGAGTTCAAGAGGCAGCACCAGGACACCGCGCGGCTGTGCGCGGAGCAGGGCTTCACCTTCATCCCCATGGTGGTGGAGGCCCATGGCGGCGGGTGGGGCCACGAGGCGCGCAGGGGGTCCTGGCCAAGCGGGTGGCTGACGCCGCGGGGGAAGCGACTCTCCGTCTCCCTGCGCAGGGAGAACGCGCGGGCGGTGTTGCGGCGCCTCCAGACGCAGTCTGGAGGGGCGGGAGTGGTCGTGGCCCGCCTGGCCGCGGCCACGGCGGCCTCCACGGCGGACGCCGTGTGAGCGCCGCCGGGCGCTGCTTGACGCTCCCTGCCCACTCCCCCCGCCCTGGCTGGGCAGCACGGGCGCCCCCCCGTGCGCTTTCTCGCGGATGGCGTGCCGGCGCCCCCCCGCACTGCCGGCCGTCTCTTCCTCGGCGGGGCGGTGGGTGATACCGCAGAGGTTCCCTCCCCACCCAGCCGCAGCGTGCTGGGTTCGGTCAGGCCCCCCCCCGACGCCCTTCCCGACGCTTTTCCCGACGCCCACGGCCGACCCCGCCGACGCCCTTCCCGACGCCCTTGCGCCCACGACCCCCCCCGACGCCTTTCCCGACGCCCACGCCGGCCCCCCTGTCGCCGCCGTAGTGTCCGTAGGTTCGTCGCGGGTGGCCTTTCCCTCCCGGCCCATGGCCCGGCCCTGCTGCTGCTGTTGCTGCGGTTGCTGCTGCTGCTGCTGCTGTTGCTGCTGCTGCTGCTGCTCCTCCTCCTCGTCCTCCTCCTCCTCCTCTTCCTCCTTGCTTTCCCTCCGCTTCTGCTCGTTGCTTCCCTCCCTTTCCTTTCCTCCTGCTCCCTGCCTGCTGTTTCCGCCTGGCCCGTTTTCTGCCTGCCCGCCCGCCCCGCCGGCCCTGGCCTCCCGCCTGGGCGTTCGTCGTCGTCTGCCTGCTTCTCCTCTCCTCGTTCCCTTCCGCCGGACCGCGTTGCCTGCCCGGAGCCAACGTGGCGGCATGTAGGGGGCTTCTCAGGGCCGACTTGTCAACACGTGCCTGCATTGACTTTTTTAAAAGTGCATGTTCGGTGTTTGGCGCTTTCTGGCCCTACCGTGTCGGTAATGATATTCTGCATTAGTTTTGTGTTAGATGTCCAGAATCGGACGTGCGCCTCCAAGGGGGGGTGGATCGTATTTACTAGTATGTATTTCTGCGTACCAGCTCGGGCGGTTTCTGGCCCTTCCTTTCATCGCCTGACCGATCCCCATCCCCACTGGGCCATGGTATGTCAGCCCCCCCAAGTGGGAATTGGCCCCGCCAACCCCAGGGAACAGCACATATCCCAACTAAGGAGGTTCAGTCGGCCAGTGGGGCTAAGGGCCACGCTAGTGGGGATTGGGGTCGGAAACACGATGCCCACTCGTGGCTGCCACTGGGTGCGGATCAAAATTGCCGGGATGTTGTCCACGGGCGGGTCTGAGAACTTCCACCGGCGGCCCCAGTGGCTGCGTTCGCATGTGCTCACCGCGCCCATGTTGGTGCATTCCTCACACCCGGAGATCCGACGTCTTGACTGATTTAAAACATCGTGGCAATCACGATTTGGGCCAGGACCTTCTTTTTCTGCGCCATTTCTCGAGCCCGATCAGTCTGTGAGGGCCCCGGGGCTCGAAACTGGGCAAGAACGCCCGGCTTTAAACATGAGATCGACAGGATTTCACGGGGGAGCTCCGCCGAAGACGATGCTCACATTTGCGTAATTCACAACGGCATATGGCTGGGTCGTTGGCCGGGCGAACTTGAGCGGAAGGGGGCTCCGTCGGCAGGCTCGCGCCGTCTCTGCGCGGCGGCGCCGCCGGCGCGGGCGCTCGGGGTGGAGAGCCCTCTGGTGCCCCGTCTTACGTAGGCCCATGGCCCGAGCAGGGGGTCGACTACGGAATCGGTTTGCCCCAAAACTGTTTTTCTCGTCGAATCCGTACAAAATGTGTAGAATGCTCGTAGGTCTACGTCGCATGTTACGTATTTTCATGGACTCGGAGAGAAAATCAATCTTTTGGACAAGGCAATTCTGTAGTCGATCCCCTACTCAGCTGGCCCTGGAATCACACAGCACAACCCGTTTTGCGAAATTCATTCGAAACGCGGCAATTGCAGAGGGTCTCGAATGCTGAGGGCTCCCCCTCTCAAGCTCTCGGCCGGGAACAGTCGTCCCGGCCCTCCTGGCCTCCATCTCTTCGCCCTCTTCCGCGCTCTCTCTCCTCGCCCTCCTCGCGGGGTAGTTGTTTTCCCAATATTGTTTTCGGTCCCAATCTGCCAGGAAGCCCGCGTAGAAAATAGTTAGTTTTCTTTACATGGCCTTTTTAAAGACGCGGTTATCGGAGTCCCCCTGGACCTCCGAGTCAGGAGATCGTTCAAGGTTGCGCGTCTGATGGCGGGCGCTGTGCAGCTTTGGGGTTTGCCTGGGTGGTCAGCGGGAAGCGCCGAGATCCCAGTGGGAAGCTTGTTGGAAGTGCTGAAAGGAGCTCGAACGTCTCACACGCCAAGCCCCCCTGCGCAACCGCGCCCAGACAACAAGTGTCCACACCTAATGGCGTGAAGACAACCTGACATGATAGCAACCACCGAGGTTGAGGTGCCCATCCTTTGTCTTTGGCAGGTTGCCTCGCGCCCGTCCTCGTCAGCTTAGTTGTTGGGGACGTTGACAATCAATATTGCTTTGATGCACTTTACAGTCGCGCTTGTCCAGGCGCTGAAGCAAAAGCGGGGGGCGTATCTTGTGGTTTTCGGTTGGGCCTGTTGGAGGCTCCTTGGGGGCTCTTTGGGATCCCTTTCTTGGGACTCTCATGGGGCTATCTTTGGGGGCCTCTTGGGCCTCTCTTGGGGGCTCGTCGCCTGTCTTGGAGCGATCTTTGGGGACTGGCGGCCAGGCACGAAGGAAAGGTGGCTCGGGTCGGGGGTCGGGAAAGGGGGGTGCTGCGCAAACTGCTGCGTGCAGCTGGTTTCGGCCCCGCCGCGCGGCGCTCTCGTCGACAAGCTGACGCCTGCGGCGCCGGGAGGCGCGGGGAAGTACAAGCTACCCTGCTTTGGAGGCAGGACAGGCGGGGGTGGGGTGTAAAGGAGTGTGGTGCCAATGTGATGTGAAGGGGATCTGGCAAAGTTACCTATAGTAGGTAACATGTTCGTGCCCACGATTGACCCCTTCATGCCACATCCCCTTCGGACGTCCTAATTCCTTACACCCCGCTTCCGTCCGCCCTGAGAGGAGGGAGGACGGCGGGGTCGGGCGGGCCCAGGACCAGGATAAAACTCGCTCCAGGGTCATCCGGAACGCTCTCAGAGCTCTCCCTCCAACGCTCCGTTACGGCCTCGACGCCCGTGTGTCATCCAGAGCCGCTGGATTTCCTGTTCCCCTATTTGTTTTGGTCTGATTTTGTCCCTGGCCTGCCCTCTGAGAAGGAGGGGCCCTGGGGGGCAGCCCTCAGGGCTAGCAGCCCCAAGGACAAGGGAAAGACTCGGCCAGGCGAGTTCAGCCTGGCCGAGGTCTTCCTGCCCGAGTTTGGCCGCTGCCCGAGACCCACGCTGCCTCCCGCCGCGCCAAGCGCGATCTCTGGCAGGACGCGCAGCACGCTTTTTGTAGCAAGTTCTGCTCGCGCAAACGCAGAATCCTCGGCGACTTTCTCCCGCACTACGAGCTGCTCTGCATCAGACGTACCTAGGACGAGGATCAGCCTTTTCCAGAGCATTCCGGGACGCTCTCAGAGCTTTCCCGGACGCGCTGAGGAGGCCGCGGCGCCCGATCCATCTTCCAGAGCCGCCGAATCTCAAAGAATCTCTCTGGATTTATCCTCTCCCGATTCTACCCTAGTCCTGGCTTCGTCTTACTGCACGCAAGTAATTACTCTCTCACCCAGCGCGTTCCACTACTTGCAAAGCGCCTACTCGCGAACGTCCGAAAAGCACATGTTCGCCTCGACGTAATAGATCGTAGATCCCCCGCGGCGGATCCAGGCCATTTGCGAGTAGTTCTCTTCGAGTAGTGGAGCGCGCTCGTTTGCTCTCGGAGACGCTGGCTCCACCCCCCCACGGCCCTAGCCGGAGGCGGACCTGGCGACGCTGGCCAAGGAGCAGGCGCAGATGGACGAGGCGCCGCGGCGACCGCCCCCGGCGCCGAGGCCTCTCCGGAGACCGGCGCTCGCGTGACGGGGGTCGACGCCAAGCCAGCCAAGCCAGGGTCGCGTTGAGCTGGCCAGCGCTCGGGGGCTCCGGGGATCCCGCGTGGGAGAGCTCGAGGCATCGGAGGTCTGGGGGCTGTACCACCCTGCACCGATCCTGGCCAGGCCCATCCTGGACCAGAGCGCCGGATCTTTCAGGATCCTGCAGAGCCAGGGTCGCATTCGACCAGACGTAAGAGTGACCTTTCGCCGAAGTGACCTTTGGTGCGGGCCCCATGGGGCCCCCCGATCGCGGAACGCGAGGCGGGAGCAGCGGCTTGCGCGCCTGGGTTTGGCCACCACGCGTCCCCCAAAAAGCCGCGCACCAAAGGGCACTCTTACCCAGGGTCACTTTTGCGAGCACTCGACGCATGGACCTAGGCCAGCGCAAGCCTGACTGAACCAGGTCTGCACTGACCTGGGTCGGCAGGAGCTCGTCGAGAGGCAGAGAGCCGGGAGCCCCAGACGGTTCGGTGGCCTCTCGCGGTGGCGGACTCCGAGCCCCATTCTGGCCTTGGAGCCGTCTGGGGGTCCATGTGGCACAGCACAGCTTTGGTTCCGGCCAGCAGGAAGGGCGAGCAGGTTCAAGGTTCTGGGTTCGGGAAGATTTTTATTAGTTATTTCGTTCGTGTTTTTTGTTCAGCCTCCAGGGGACGTTTTCGGGCCCCAGGACCGTGAACTACAGCTCTGGCGGGGTGAAAAACTTACCAGATGGATCCAAGGAGGGGTCTGGGGACCGATTCTGAGCGGATGTGGCCTCATCCCCCACTCCTGACCGTTTTTCTGGGGTCACAACCAGTTCAGATCCCTGGGCCACCTCGAACCCTCGCCGATCAAACGATTCGGGCAAGTCGATGGTCGGCGGGGTTAGGGTTTGGAATTCGTCGAATGCGCGGTGAGATCCGAACCCTACCCTCGGACCAGACGAAAGGGTAGGATAGGGAAATGGGGGGTTACGGAATCTGCTGCATGCAGCCGGTTTCGCCCCCGCGGCTGGGCCCACTCCTCGGTAAGTCAGCGCCTCCTGTCGCCGGGAGGCGCTGGGAAAATCAGCCACGTGAGCTGACTCCCTCGTACCCTACCCTACACTTAGAAAGTCCCAGGTTCGCTAGGGGTTGGTTTCCTTTCAAAACAGCAGAAACCCTCCGAAAACCATCCGGGGAAGGGTTCCGGGAGGGTTTTCGGAGGGTTTCGGGAGGGTCTTGGAAGGGTTCTCGTCATTTTTGGAGGAAGCCAGTCCTTAGCGAACTCCCAGCTTTCTAGCCCTACCCTTTGCTATCCTACCCCTTCGTCCCCCGCAGGGGTAGCGTTCGGATGCCGCCGCCTGCGCACCCCGTGTGGTGAGTCGGTGGGGGCTCGGGGTGGCCGCACTGCTTTGGGCCTTGGGTCGTTCTCCGAGGATACATCGGGCGACTGGCGGTTCCTGGGGCCCAGATCGACGGCGCGCCCAGGGGGGAGGCGAGGAGGAAGGAGGAGGAGGAGGAGGAGGAGGAGGAGGAGGAGGAGGAGGAGGAGGAGGAGGAGGAGGAGGAGGAGGAGGAGGAGGGGGGGGAGGGGGGAGGGGGAGGAGGAGGAGGAGGAGGAGGAGGAGGAGGAGGAGGAGGAGGAGGAGGAGGAGGAGGAGGAGGAGCTCGCACTGTGGATCTCACAGTGCTCGCCAGTTGAGAGGATTCCTCGACCCCTGTAGGAAGCCTGGCATGCATAGCCAAAAGGCTGTCAGAAGAATGTGCCAAGGCTATTTGCCAGGGGTCGCCGGCAAAGTGCCAGCGTTTGTGTTGCCGCTCGAAAGCACTTAGGGAAAGCAAGGCGGCGGTGCACCTGGACAAGGACAGGTGTCGCCCTCAGAGGGGGGCTCCACTGCTTCTGGACGAAGAAGAAGGAGAGGAGGAGGAGGAGGAGGAGGAGGAGGAGGAGGAGGAGGAGGAGGAGGAGGAGGAGGAGGAGGAGGAGGAGGAGCAGGGGGGGGGGGAGGGGGGACGGGGAGGGGGGGGAGGGGGAGGGGAGGGGGGAGGGGGAGGGGGAGGGGGGACAAGCTAGGTGCGCTCGCGTCATATCTGACATCCTACCCCTCCCTCCCATCCCTTACCATGGCGTAGATCCCCTCTCTACTCGCACAGTCGGATGTCGAGCAGGGCAATGATCCCGAAAGGGTACGCGATGCATTGTAGAGCACGGCATGGCATGGCGTAGAAGAGCACCGCAAAGCGTAGTATCAACCTAGCATTGCATTGCATGCCGTGGCATGGCACGGGAAATGACGCCAGCGCTGCAGCGGGAGCACGAGTCGGAACGAGCGGAAGCGCGGAAATGAGGCCAGCGCTGCAGCGGGAGCACGATTCGGAACGAGCGGAAGCACTGAAATGAGGCCAGCGCTGCAGCGGGAGCACGATTCGGAACGAGCGGGGCCCGAAAATGAGGCCGGCGCCCCAGCGAGAGCAGCATTTAGGAAAAAATGCAGGCGAAAACCTTACTCCGGGGAATCCTGTGTGTAAAAAAACAATACGCGGGGGGGGTGCTAATATTTTCAAACCGTCATCAGGGGAAGAGGGAGAGTAGTATTCATATCGAGTAATTGTTGAGGAGGAGGAGGAGGAGGAGGAGGAGGAAGAGGAGGAGGAGGAGGAGGAGGAGGAGGAGGAGGAGGAGGAGGAGGAGGAGGAGGAGGAGGAGGAGGAGGGGGAGGGGGATGAGGAGGAGAAGGAGGAGGAGGAGGAGGAGGAGGAGGAGAAGGAAGAGGAGGGGGACGAAAAGGAGCAGGCGGAGGCCTTTTCAGAAGGCGGCGGGGCTTCTCAGAAGCCCTCGCGCCTTGGAGAACCTTTCGGTGTTTTCGGGGGAGGCTTAATTAGGAGAAAACTTTTCAGAAGGCACGAGGGCCTTCGAGCCTTCTGAGAAGGCCCGCCCCTTCTCCCTTCCCCAAGAGGCATTGTGGGATTTCGAGTTCATCACCTCACGGTCTGTCAGCGCCCCGTGTCGGGACCCCGATAAGACAGCTCTCGACGCGGTCGCCTTGGCGCGCGATGGCCCTCGAGGGCACTCGGTGGCCCGTCTGAGTGGGCCCTCCCCAAGCACCCTCGCGTCGCGGCAAAGCTCGCGACGATAGTTTGATAGCCGTTTTCGGCCTTGGGGGGCCTTCACCGGGCCCTTGCATTGCTACTACCATCATCGTGTCTACCGTTGCCGACGTTGCCATGACACCGCGCCCGCCCAACTCGCCGATTCGCACTGACGGGCCCGCTGTGAAGTGCTCAGCGGTCAGCGCCAACGCGACCGCGTCGGTCGCGCCAAACTAACTGGCCGCTTCGCGCGCAAGCATGCGTGGGCAAGCGCGGCCGCAGAGAGGCACCAGCCAACATCAAGCACTCACCGCAATCGCCGCCTCAGGGTTTTTGCAAACCAAGCTGCGAGCAGGTGGGTGGAATGATTGCCCGAGTGGTGGAGTTGACAACTCAGTGTGGACAGGCATTCATTGCAGCCCATGTATTGCACAATTACGGAGCAGCACAGGTGGTACAACATGTATAGGTCCATATCGAATACACACCATAAACGGCGCCACATAGTGTGGGGCACGTCGGTTTCACAACGTACGCTGCGCCACATCTGCTGCAAAACATATGTTGCACAGCCTACTATGTGGCATGGCGCATATATGGTTCATCGTCGACTCCATAACATATATTTAGCAACGCACGTGGCACCACATGCATTGCACAACGTAGATATCACAACATTGGGTGCACTACTTTTTGTGCCGCGTACGTTCCACAACGTATTTTGCACTAGAAAGGGTATTCGCAAACCTTATGTATAGAACAACATGTTTGCACTACGTTGATTGTTCTACACGGATTGCACATTTTTGTTGCACTACACCGATGTTGCTACATATTGTGTGCCACATATGTCCCCCAACGCACGTTGCATCACGCCGACAGCACAACATTGCATTTAATGTATTGCACTACGCAACTTGCTCCACTTAAATGTCACATCGTGGTGCTAGCATCGCACAGTTTGGGGTCCACGTTGGAGAACATCTTATACATACCCCCTCTTTGTTGCGACCCGATACGTGTTGGTAGGGCAAACCAGGCGTTTCGTCTGAGACCTCTGTGCCGTCCATAATTTCTGAATTTATAACGTGCAACTTTTTCACACTTGGGGGCGGCGCATTTTCAAAATGTATTTCTCGCTTCTCTGCCGCGCACATTCATTACACTGTACACTCGTGTCTCGGATGGAGGGCGGGCCATCCTCACAATGTGGCTTACGCCTCAGCGCGGCGCAGATTTGTTTTCAAGTTTGAAAAAATTTCGCGTGTTGATGGCGGTTCCTTTTCAAAATGTGGTTTTTGCTTTAGCGCGCCACGAATTTGGTTTAAACGTTTACAGTGGTTTCAAGGATTCTCATGGTTGACGACCCAGAGTCGGGGTGTTGAATTCCCAAGAATGATTTTCTGGCGCAGTTCAGGATTGTGAGGAAGGCGCAGCACCGTTGGTTCGCGGGGTTAGGTCCCAGGAGTAGTTTTTTGCACGGTTGGGGGTTTTCAGATTGTTGTTTTCCACAAAGGTTTTTCATAATGCTGTTTTTCACAGGCCACTTGTTGCAGTGTTGCTGGATCTTTGTAGGGACCTATCACTCGGGAGCTCGGGTGGAGGGTTTATTCCAAGATCTTTGATTACTGTTGGGTTTGCGTTGGTTGTGTGTGCAGTCCGGTCATATCCCTGTTGTATCACTACATGCCGCTAACGTATCGGCTCAGGTACTGGTACACAGACCGCGCGGCGCTCCGCGCAGCGCTTTGGAAAAGGAGTAGATAACCTCTTCCTCCATCACTTTTACCTACGGTCACACGTCTTGGATCGACTCTTCGGTCGTATCCTTACACGCACAGGTTATCCGCCTATTATTTTACGCTTTTCGCCGTTGCGA